AAGTCCACTGTGGAGAAGATTTTGCATCCACCTGTTTCGGCGATGATGTCGTCGATGCTTGGTAGAGGCCAACTGAAAGGTCCGTCTGTTCATTGACGAATCGGTAATCTGTGCAGAGTCTCCACGAGCCGTTTTGTTTTGCGACCATAATGATTGGACCTCCGAATGGTGAAGAAGACTCACGGATGATGTGGTTCTTCTTCATATTTTCCAACTCCTTCCTTGCGCATTCTTGTTTTTCTCTAGACATCTTGTATGGCTTCCGACACACTGGGGTAATATTCTGGAGTAGGAACGGCACTTCGAAGAATTTTACCGGTGGTGGGTATTCGGATTCGCTCACTACTTCAGGGAAAGCTTTCTCTAAATCATGCACTGATAGGATTGTGAACGTGTTCACTTGTTCTCCTGGTGTAGATTGCGTTTTTCCGGAAGTCAAGGTGTCGTCGAAATGTTGGTTCAATTCTATTGCCTTCATGAGTACGGTGAGACGAGGAAATCGTATGAGCAGTCCTTCAGGACTAAACAATCGACTCGTTTCCTGATTGGACCTAGTTCGAGTATTACTTTCGTCCATCGATTCAGTGAGCAAGGTTTGTTCCTTCAGTCGAAAACTGTTACGTTTTTTCCCACGAAGATCCTCTCGTCATTGGTAATTTTTTTGTTGACGACAGAGACGGACGCGCCACTGTCCAGGATAACCTTAATGGGTTTTCCGTAAAGTCCAGCGTCTGTCTTCGAAATCTTGTCAGAGCAAAATAGAACTGTCTTCTTGAGCGACTCCTGGGTGAGAACAGGACTACCCCGCGTTATTAGTATGAATGATCTTCTTCGCTTCCGTCTCCGTAGTCTTGGAGCATTGAAGATTGTCTCGATTATCTCTGAAAGGTCTTCTTTTTCGACGAATGATCATTGGTTGGATTGCGACCGCTGGTATGACTGTCGTGATGTTTCCGTTGGAAGTAACGTTTTCGTTCTGCGGTCTCATTTGAGAATTCGTTTCTTTTTGCTCCTAGATTGAATTTTCTTTCCATGTGCCATGATTGGCGTTGAGCGGATAATTTGTCTTGTATGCACTTGAACAGGCTATTCGAGATGAGTTCATCTGGATCGTAGACGTCGTTCTCTCTGTAGAATTTTTCTCTAAGTGGGAGTGGGAGAGACTCACTCAAACCAATGATTGAAAGTGACTGGTATGAGGCGGCCTGTCTTCCGGAAGCTTCGAGAGCATTGACGTGTTCCCAGGCCGTTTGATGTAGTATCTCGAGGCGTCGGAAATCGGCCGGAGGCGTAACTTTGAAATTCTTGCTCAAATCTCGGAGAGCTCTGAGATGTGAAGTTTTCGTGTCACTCGTGGCTTTATAATGATCATTCAGATTTTCCCATGCTAGCTTGAATGCGATTTCTTCTGCGATTGCCTGTTGCCTGGGATGCTAGGTGTATTGGGAGGTGTATTGACTGCTTTTTCAGAGTATGCTCGTTCGGTATGGCATTGCAGAGTTTTTCCGATTGACAATTATGGCGTGGTCTAGTTCTCCTTGAACTATGAAGTCTGTGGCCAAATCAATCGACTCTTGTGCATCGTTTTTTCTGAGATTGGCGAGTTCTGTTCGGTGTTGCACCAACTTGATGTAGGATGGCACGCATTCTGCGCTTTTCTCGACGAATCCTTCTTCTTTGGTATGCTCAATTACTTCGAGACAAAACTTACTGAGGATATCCTGACGCATGAGAGCCTTATTCGGGTTCGTGGACTTGCGAGTTATGGGAGGCATCAGGATCCTGTCGACTGCGCAAGTAGCAGTCTGTGTCTAAGACTGTTATGAAGTGGAGCTTCTTTATTCCGCTCTTATAGATATCCACTGACCCCTGCATATATTATGGTTTTTATCATCTGGATGATTCAATTCGGTCTCGAGTTGGCCACGCGGCGGCGCATACGCGGGTGTACGCGAGATGTGTTGGGCGCGCCGTAAATGCGACTCGTCTTCACCGTTGCGTGGGAGACGACGATGTGCTGATACACCGACACCACAATACCCGGATACGTTCGTGGCTTTCGTACCACGACGCGAGCTCAGTGGCACCTGGAACGATCGTCAGCTCCAGCACCCTTGAGAGCCATAATCCAACATCACGCGCCACGTTTGGTTTCAATGTTCAATAATCCTCAATATTTGAGATGATTAGAAGGTTTCAGAGGTAATTTTGCGAAGACGTAGTTGTGGGGAGTTCAATAGACTCTCTGACAGTCTTCCCTTGCCAGATCTCGCCTGAAAAGCCCTCCACGACTCCGAAACTCTCAATCCGAAACCATTCGTGCATACGTTACGAGATCCGTCACATTTTTGTGGACAGCGTCCAGAATGACGTAGTTCTACGTCGAAACTTGCGAGAAGTGCTCGGTGAAGATCTCTGAGAAGACGAGACACGCTCTCGTCCTGGGGTCTCGTTTCAGCCAAAGGTATGCTTCCGCGAAGGCCCCTCCGATGAACTTCGACTCCTGAACTCCCAGGCGGCATTCTATCTTGTTCCGGACGAGCGTTAAGCACACTGTTCGGAGTTGAGGCAAATCAGTCGGCGCGATTCGGTCATCGGTTGCTCCTGGCGGCCATGTAGCCCTAGTAGTCGGACCAGGATTTAGAGCGTCGTCTGAGTGCCGCCGTCATACTGTGGGTCAAGACACCAACAATCATCACGTCCTCGATAGCTGTCTCCAGGCTCGAAGGTGTGGGCTGCATTGCTCTCGCTGGGGCGAGCAACGAAGTCAAGCATTGTCCTTGGCCGCCTCATCCTCAGTCTGGACCCGGACATCCGGATCTACTATTTGAAAGTCTCAAGCCATTAGAAAGCCTCCGAAGTTGAAATTGGCCGATCAACGCCGCAGTGTAAGGGCGTCAGGAGACTCCCGTGGGGAGGTCTTGACGCGAGAGAATCGACTTGAGGAATCTCTTGGGTTGTTCAAGATTCCGATGAGCACCTGATTCGAGCCTGGCGTACTCGCAATCAACCGAAAGTCCAATTTATTGGCTGGGGGGGAGCCTGCACCGCGGCGGGTATACTCGAGTCTCGTTCTGGTGCAGCGCCCTAGATCAGGCGAATATTCCAGCGTACTTGCCCCTGATACTCATTCAGAATCAGGGGGTTCATTGAGGAGGGGTCGAGGGGAGAGAGCTCCTCGCACCCTCCGTCCGGTATAAGAAGCGTTCATCAAGCCCATGAGCTATCTTTTCGGTGATTGCGCTCATCTTCTCTTCTACCTGAAATCATCTAATCCCTCCTCCTTAGCATGGATAGCGGAAGTGAATCAGGTGACACTTCGAGCAGCTCGTGTGAGCTCTCGCCGCATGCTGCGGTCTTCGTTCTGCCTAAGCCCAGGCCGCGGTTTCCGCTGTTGCCGAGGGCTCGGTTGTTCGAACCGAGGAAGCCGGGGGCAGAGCGAAGGGCTCTCGAAGAGCAGACGATAATCCAACTACGAATCTTCATCACGAACGTGACTCTGGATCCTGATAGTTTCGACGATGAAGCAGACTCGTTGAGACCGTCACTCTTCGCTTATTTGGGTCAGGGAGGATCCTTGGCCAAGGTCGTCGGAATCATCAATGAGTACCGAGCGAAGGTGAGGGAGTTCCGAGGATCAGGGAGACTGCTCATGCATATACTGCGGAGCTTCGTTCAATTACATCGAGAGTTTGGCGATCCGAACTGTGATTTCGACTAGCGAGAGCGTGGACTGCTATCCAATTCCATGCGACGGAGTGTCTGCCCTGACAGGAGTAGGTGCTCAACATATCATAGGAGGTATCTCTCTGACCAATGGAGGCCTCCCGTGGACACCGTCTATCCTTATGCACAGAAGGATGTGTACTTGCGGACAAATCGTATGCGACCGCTCGAGCTGAAACACTGAAATAAAAAATTTCCCTTACCCGTACTCTGCCGCTCATCTTGTGAACAATTATTCTATCTCGACGTCGTTCGAACGAACGCTCGATAATGAAAGAGGCGGACCCACAAAGAGCGTTCATGCGCATCCCCGTTGGAGTCCCGATTCCCCGAGGTAAGCCCGGGAACCCACGTACATCGAACTCCACTCTGTTGTTGCTCGTCGAGGAAGTAGTCGCAGAGATGAATAAGGTCCTTGGAGCAGGCGAGGAACACGGAATGAGGCGTCCGCTCTCGATGTTAGCTTCTACTCACGATTCCCGCGCGGGCAATGCCATTTTTTTATCGCATTTCTAAGTTCGTATATCTTTCGAATACTCAGCAAATTCGAAGGACGAGTGTTGACTTGAGTGAAGCATTCTCCCAGGCGAACGCTGCACTGCAAGCGTGTTCCCTGCCAGAGCAGAATCAAGAGGATTCTCTTCTGTAAGGAGTCTTGCCCCCGAGCAGCAGCGACCATAATCCAATCCCGCTCCCCTCATCCTATATGAACAATCATCTTCGGACTATTCGCGAAAGAGTTCTGCCTTTCTCTGATTCTTTTGAGTACGTCGGAGCGTTCGCTGAAAACTTCCCCCTGCTCTGACAGTTTCGAGGATGCGTCGAGTGAATATGCGATTTTTATTTATTGTCAGGGATTCCCCGAGCCCCCAAATCCATCCAAGTACAGTATCATCGATGGGAATTTTCCCCCACCCTCCGACCAGGAGTTGTCCGTAAGGTCATCCTCTGAATGTTATACAAGCTTAGTCTCTGATCAATTACGACCAAGAACACCCGGGTTTGCGCCGGAGAGGTCTTGATCGAGGGATCTGGGCGCAACGATGCATACCTTCACGGATACTGAATCATACCTCTACTGAATCGCACGATATTCGCCAGACAATGAGGGACGGCGTAAAGTTTCTTCAGCCGCGCGCGCGCGTTCAATCGAATGCGTTCATCCGAGCGGAGAATCAGCCAGCCTACCAGCCAGATACAGACAGCCAGCTCGCTAGCTGGCTGGCTAAGCCACTGCTTCAAGGAGCCACCAGCGGCAGCAGCCCTACGGCGGTGCTGATTGTTTGTTGTATTGAACGAACAGGGCAAGCGAAGGGCCCCAATTCGCTGTGGAGGAAATCTGTGCTCACAGGTGCCAACGGTGGAGGTGCGTTGATCTTCGGCAAGAGTCGACATACTAGTTCACGGGGAGCTTCTTCTGATCCACGGCATTCGTTGGAAACTCGCGACCTCACGAGTCGTTTCAAGCGTGAACGCGTTCTCTCGCGGCCGAATATACGAGATTCTAGAACCATTCCCCAGAAGGCTCTCGTGTACCACAGCTCCCGAATCTCAGCCGTACCATACGTCTTTGCGGCCATTCTCCCGTTCTGCGAGTTCTGACACTTCTCGGATGAGGCTCTCTCTAGAGAGCTGTGGGTGAGATTGATGTCGGTCGAGTGGCCGATGCGAGCGACCTGAGACCGGGACATTTCGTCTGTTCTGACCGAGTCGCCTTCGGCTTGATATGGTGAGACATTCCTCCGGCTCTCCCACCGTTGCCGGAGAACGAGAGACCTGGAATTGCTTCTCGAGAAAGCTCCAGGCCTCACGAGTCATCTAGGGCTCTAGGGGAAGCCTGCGGTCTGTAAACCATCTGTTCGGTTCGGATACCCATCAGATACCCTCAGTCTTCGGATAGCTCAGATCATCTGAGACTTCTATCAGGATTCCCAGTTCTCGTCGAAGGGTGTCGATGAGTCATCTAACAATTAGAATGACGATTGGGAATGGTCAGATTTCTCGGTCAGTATGGCGAGAGCTTGCGCGACGGATCCACAGAAGTCAGAGAATCAATTTTGAGCGCGAACCGTACCGAAAGCAACAATCCACGAAGCCAATTTATCACCGAACGTATACATTGATAGATAGATATATATATATATATATATTTCCTCCGTCTTAAATCGCCTCAAGGCGACTCACTTCCTAATTCAGAGACATTTTGTGATCGAGATCAGATCTCGATCGCGCTCCATCGGAGTTCCGGGTTTATGTTGTGAGTGACTGCCGCTCTGAGGATTTCGGAGAGGATTAAGATCCGGCTCGACTTCACTCCGGAGCCCTGACTGAAGCGTGCGATGACGCGGACGCTGCCGGACGTCCGGTGACGTAATTCCGTGAAATTGGCGTCCGATCACGTCCGACTTTCTCCCGAGACTTCGTCTCTATTGAGTCGATCAAATAAGCAGTACGCCTCACCGAAGAAAACATCACGACGCTAAGAAGTTTCTGGAGAGTCTGCGAGCGTTGTTGCTCGTCTTATTTCCTCCTCCGCTCACGCTGGCCGCCTTAATTTTGAGCTTTTATCCGCGATGGTGAGTCACCATGCTGGTCAGATCCGATTTTCTGCTGTAGGCAGTGTTCGGATTCTCTCCCGCTCGATCTGTTTGCATGACTTGCCGTATATACGGACCGATGGGTTTCCCGAGCCGAAGGGTTTGATAGGGATGTCCCCACGATTCGGGGAAAGCGATCCTTATCGCTCCAAGAAGAGGAAATCTCTCGCATCGGTCGACTCGATAGGGGCATCGAATATTCACGGGGGAGCCATTCTGGAAAGGTTTCTTATACTATCACTTTTGTAGGGCGAGCCGAGGCGTAGGCGCGTGTGAATAGGAACGAGCTGCCCTGTAGCTGTCGATCGGCAGGATGTGAAGCGTATGAAATAGCGGGAATTCTCGAGACGGCGCGGGGGCGGATCGTGATCCGATTTCTCCGTCCAATCCTCGATTCGCGAGAGACGTTTTTCTCTCTTTTTTTTCGTAATTTCCCCTGGCTCATGAGAAATCTTTGAATGAGCGTACAGAGTCAACTAACTGCCCGTGCGTGAACTCCGGATTTTACCACCTTATCGAGGTGAGTGTTAAATCTTCTACCACTCTGTGTTAGTTTCTCTAATCGTACAATGTCTCCCGATCCCGTCACGCTCAACTCAGAGATGCGGTGCCGGTTCCGCACGAAAGAACGCTGCACCACTCAATATCAGAGTCGAAGAATTCTTCACCCGCGAATAAACTCGGATCGATATCAATGGTTCTTGCTTCGCTACTACCTTTCCATTGAATTATCAGCTTTCCGTAGGATATCGCTGTATCACCCGATGCGCTGTGTTCCACCTGGTCTCTATAGGCTTCTCGCCGAGCAGCCCCGGATGACTTTGGCCTGAGGTCCGTTCTTCCAAGTTCTCCGACGCTGATGGAGCTGAACGCGACGACATCCGTGTCTCCGGTGGCCGGCATGAATTGTCCGATCAGCCTGACTGCGGATTCTAGTCGTCCCGTGCGCAGGCGTTGCTGAAACTCTAGTCTCCGCCAACGACCTGTAGCAGTGCTCCTTGTTCTGTCAAGGCTGGGTGACCACCCTTCCACGCCGACAAGGATTCTTTTCGGAACCTTTGGGCTGTCACCCGAGCAAATTAGTTCACGATTCCAAGAATCAGTCCATACGCTCAGTCATTCTACGCCTCTGACCACCCCTATACCTCTGAGCAGATGGCTTTGCACGATTAATGGGCTACAACATCGAGAGGAATTCGGGGAAGCTCGACGGAAGGTTTCCGAGAACTTACCTCGAGAGTATTCCTCTCACGATCCTTCTTCTCCCTCCTTGAAGGTTCTTGATATCTCGAATAGCGACGAAGCATCGACTAGGGCTCGTAACGGTGCGGCCAGAAGTCGTACTTGCGTCAGGCACAGAGGAGAAGCTTGCAGGCCTCCATCCTAATCCTTATACATTCCAGCGTACGACGTGTGCGATGAGGAGCCAACTGGAACTTGTCTAGCCGACCTTTATATTGGCTTGCACGTGGAACCTCGAGCAGTTTCCGGCTTCAGTCGCATCGACACGATGGAGGATACACTCAGAGCTCCCCTTTCTGGAGGAAGTCCTGAAAAGGTCATTAGAGTCACGCGTGTGGTTCGATCAGAGCGCACTCCGAGCATGAACTGAATATTGACGAAGATGATCTCTGATCGATGGGTCGAATATCAACCATCCTCCTGGTGCAGGAGTTTTCTCAAGAAACGAATCGCTTCCAGGACCGAGAAAGCAGTCAGGCTCAATTAAATAAATTGTCTGAAGAATGTCTGACGAGACAACCTGACGAAGTCTTCGACCTGCTGTGTAAACTAGGCGAAGGTAAGCTAACTCCGCTTTGGGACCGCGATCGCTTAAACTCCGATCGCTTTTCTAAACTGACATGAAATGCATGCGTATTAAGTAGCTACGATTTGAAACCGAGTCTTCTTCTCAACAGGGAGTTACGGATCAGTGTACAAGGCATTACATAAAGAGTCGGGTCAAGTGCTCGCCATAAAACAAGTTCCCGTCGACACCGACCTTCAAGAGATAATCAAAGAAATATCAATCATGCAGCAGTGTGATTCGCCCTTCGTGGTGAAGTACTACGGAAGCTACTTCAAGGGGACCGACCTGTGGATTGTCATGGAATACTGCGGAGGTGGAAGTGTGTCAGACGTCATGCGAATGCGAAAAACCACGCTTCAAGAAGACGAAATCGCGACGATTCTCTGCGACACCCTAAAAGGTTGGTTTTGAGAGCTCGTCCGCTAGACAATCCACGTTGGCATTTTCGTCGTCGCTCAAATCCCCGCTCGACGTATCTTTGTATGATTATGGCGATCATATAAGTGAAATATATTCTAAAAGTCATTCAACATCGACTCATCTTCTCCAGGGCTCGAGTACCTCCACCAAAGGCGGAAAATTCACCGCGACATCAAGGCAGGAAACATCCTTCTGAATTCCGAGGGGCACGCCAAGCTTGCCGATTTTGGTGTAGCCGGACAATTGACAGACACGATGGCGAAACGCAACACCGTCATCGGCACTCCGTTCTGGATGGCCCCTGAAGTCATCCAGGAAATCGGTTACGACTGTGGGGCCGATATCTGGTCGCTTGGCATTACGGCTCTGGAAATGGCAGAAGGCAAACCTCCATACGGCGACATTCATCCCATGCGAGCAATTTTCATGATACCGTCCAAACCGCCTCCGTCTTTCCGGAATCCCGACAAATGGAGCTCAGAGCTTATTGATTTCGTTTCCCGATGCTTAGTCAAGAATCCTGAAGAACGTGCCACAGCCACGATGCTGCTCCAGCATCCCTTCATACTGCAGGCGAAGCCTGTAACAATTCTACAACGGATAATTACCGAAGCTAGTCGACTCCAAGAAGAGAAAAGCAATATGGGCGAAGGCAACACCGCCGACGATGAGGTGAGTGTTGTTCCTCCGATCAATGTATTTCCCTTTTTCTTTTCGAGGCAATACTCTTGACCGTAGGGCGGTGAATCCGATACGACCATCGCTAAAGAAGAATCTATCGCGGAGGCTTTCTTTCACCCACGTTTCGCCGATATTCTTTCAGGTGGACGACAGCACATTAGTACCGGAGCGGAACAATAACAGTAACAATAGTCACAATAACAACAGCAACACTCTCGATGCCGATTCGGCGGGAATCGAAAAGGTCGACGGCGCATTGGATTCGAGTACGTCCGAGACCTTTTCCCGAATCGAGCATCACTGTGCCACTTTAAGCGACGTGGAGAGCAACCTCGGCACGTTAGTGATCAATGATGAAGAGGATGACTCCACGATGCGGGACAGGGAGCCCTACCGACCTTATTTTCTCGATCACTTCGAACGGAAACAGCTCGAACAGCAACAACATAATCAGCAACAGCTGCAGCAACTCAACTCGAAGACCATAACGCTCCCCGCCAAACTGCCTTCAACAGCGTCCACGAACAATGCCGCGGCTGAAGCCAATAGAGCGTCCGCGTCAGCCTCGGCCGAGGAGGATCTGCAACGGAGATTAGCTCAAATATCAAGTGGAATGGGATTAGGCGGAAGCTTAGGAGACATGACGATGGCATTAGCGTGCGATAGCGAAACACAGACTTTCGGACCGGCGATCGCAGGCCTAGATATGCCAGCCATGGGGGCTCACCTTGATCTAGAAATGCAGCTCAAGGTCCTTTCGTACGAGGAACTGCAGGGCCGACTTGCCACACTCGACACCGAAATGGAACGAGAGATCGAGGAGCTCCGGCGGCGCTACCAGGCCAAGCGACAGCCCATACTCGACGCCGTGGATACGAAGAAACGTCGTCAGCAGAACTTCTAGACCTCAGAGAGTCACAGCCTGCGTTTGACGGTCTTCCGAGGGAGCAGTCGTTGCAGCCGCACGCCCTGTCCGAGAGGAAACTCTTCCAGTCGCGGCTTCCATATCCTTATGAGGCGAAGAGATGCTTGTACAGAGAGAGCATCATCGTATTTTTGAATTTCTCCCAGCCTGCCCATCTTCAAGAGGAGGAAAGGGTTGAACTAAGGATTGGGTCCGAGGAGCGTCTTATCATCCCCAAAAACAATTGACGAGTGAACTCCCAACTTTGAAAAGTACCTCTAGTCAGCAGAAAGAAAAGATACTTCTGAAGTGCCTTCTCGCGGCTGTCTCGATCGGGGAGTTCACCATCTGATCAGAAACTCGGACGCGGATCAGAGGAAGCACAGTGGTAACCTCCCCGGGACGAATGGATAACTTGACGATCAAGCGACCGATTGATGCCCAAAAAACGTACCAACCACAGGATGAAATTTGTTGTTATATTCTACGGCGTGAAGAGCGGATGAGTCCAAGTTCTTGGCCAAGCATCTTGTTTCTTCATGAGCAGCGCACAATTACCCACCCGGTCTTCACTCAGGCGATCATGAGACTTGTACAGCGGAGCGACAAAATACAGAAGTGATCTGCGAGGAATTTGAGTGAGCCGGTCATGAATCATCCGCAGAATCAGGAAGGCTAGATGGCAATTCTCTTCTCTGGGAAACATATTCGACTTGACTATGTATTGCGGGTCCTACGTTTTGCTTGCTAAGCTCAACGAGCGAAACGAATCAGCGGATCGCAATGATGAGCTGAACAGGGGAGAAAAATTCTACGTGGACCGAGTGAATGTCGGTCGATATCCTGTTGAGGATCAGAAAGTGGTGAATAAAATCTGTTGCTGAGGTTGAACAACACTGATGGGAACTTCCTGCATTTCGTTTAGTAAATTCGATCTTAATAAATTTTCGGCTTCTTACTTCTCTTGGATGATTTGCTCAGACATCGCGGTTTTTCGTCGGATTGTTGTTTTCGGTACGGTATCAAACACAGCGAGCGGGCGAACTTCAGTGTACTCGAAAATATCGGTTCTGGTGGCCAAAAATTGGTTTCCCTTCTCCCTCGTCGGATACGAGTGGCACAAATCGATTCGGACTAAAGATCCTCGGAAAACTCAAACTTTTCCACGTACAGGGCTTAACGGGACGCCGCAAAAGAGCAGAGTGGATCCCTTCAAGGACCCCTTTGCGGCACATTCAGCCTTCAGAATGGGTGACTCTGCCACGCAACAATCTTCTTCGCCAGAGGTAAGCTCCACGACAGCAAACAATTTTTTCCGAATGCCAATGAGCTCAGTGAGGGCTTTATCGGAGAGCATAAGGCAACCCATCTTCTCCACAGGAAGAGCAAGATTCCCAAGAAATTCCCTCAAATGGTTGCGATGGAACGATACCCTGCACCATCGTCAGGAATTTCAACTCTCATTATGTGAAGCTGAACGTCGGAGGATGCCTTTTCAACACAGCGAAATCAACTCTTGTGAAGCTAGACAACATGCTCAGAGCCATGTTCAGCGGGAGGATGGACCTCGAAACCGATTCCGAGGGTGCGGGTCGCTTCGTGATGATGATGATCTTGAATAGGATGTCGACTGCAAGTTCTTCTCGGTAATCATTCTGCTCATATTCACGCCGAAGATCATTTCAGGTTGGATTCTCATCGACCGTTGTGGCAAACACTTCGGAACAATTCTGAACTTCCTCCGGGACGGGACTGTCGCGCTTCCTGAGTCCGCCAGAGAGCTCGCTGAACTATATTGCGAGGCGAAGTATTATCTCATATCCGGTGAGCCCTGCGATAGGGAGCAGATGAGATGGGCTCGGAGATCTCATTGTTGGACTTGAGCAGAGACTCGGATAAGAACGAAACGGAAATCTCCTCCAATCACCCGATGTCTCTAACTTTACAGAACTGATGGAACTTTGCGAGAATGCGTTGAATAGGCATGCCAATCCCGATGCGATTTGTAAAGTTATTTTCATCACTTCGGAGAAGGAGTGTCAGCAATTGATTCAGGTGATGGGATAGGAGTAAATATTTGCAGGCGGTTCAGATTTTGTGAGGATGTTGTGTTCAGAATGGTCTGCGCTGAATTTTGAAGGCTCCTCAATCTCTTCCTAGGCGCATCCCAAACCCGCTGTAAAAATTCTGATGAACCGAAACAACAATAAATTTTCGTATACGCCGACTTCGGATGATAATCTTCTGAAGAATTTGGAAATGTTCGACCGCCTATCCCTCCGCTTCAGCAGTCGCATCCTTTTCATAAAGGTGAATCGCTTTCCTTCGTATCCAGCCTCTCGGTGACAAATGAATCATCGAAAGCGTCCCTTGTGGAGAGAAGAGAACACTGAAAGGTGATTTTTCTTTCGATAGGACGTGATCGGCACCAACGAAATATGTTGTTGGACGTTTTACGGACACGGTAAAAAATTTGCCGAGATCTGCTGCACCTCGATCGTGTACGCCACGGACAAGAAACACACGAAGGTAAGCCTCGAGTCAGAAAGACCTCATGGCCAGACCACAGTCCCGTTAGAACGATACGGTTTCAAACAGCCATTGCGATTCTAGGTGGAATTCCCTGAAAACAGGATCTACGAAGAGTTTCTGAACACTCTGCTGTACGAGAATCCTCAACAGCCGGACCCCGAACTCATGCAAGCCACCTCACAGAGGGGCGCAGGGCTTCAGCGTTCAACAGCTGCCGTGAGTGACGACGAGGAAATTGAATCCAAACAGCAGACTGCCCAGGCGGAGGCTGCCAGCGGCCCCGGTCCTTCAAGAAGCTCCTCATCATTAGCGCTTGGTCGTTTCCGGAAGAGTAACTCGGCGTCGAACAGCAACAACAATCTTTAAAGCAGAGTAACTTTCTCAACGCTCTCGGTTCAAAGCAGAATTCACGATTTCGGATTCCGAGTCCAAGCGATCAAATCGACGTTCAACTCGTCGATTCGCGCGTCGATCGCTCAGTCTGTCGTTCCCCAAGGTCGCGCTGTATTCCTTCCGTCGCAGCTTCGCGCGACCTTGCGGCAGAGTGCCACGGTGGTATTCGAGCAGGCGCGAGAAATGCCCCAGAAGTCGAAGGCGCCGCATAGGTCAGCATTTTGAGTCGCAGTGTCGCGAGACACTGCCGTCCCTCCTCAGTTCAAGATTGTCCCATATTCAGTCGATTGCAGTGCCAGCTCTGACTCGTCTCCCGAGTCGGTCCCGGCATTTCTATGCGGTTTAGGGACCGTGCCAACTGCATGTGAAAAGAAGTGGCCGCGGGCATGTGCTAAATACGTGAACTTAAAGAATAAAACTTGGGTGGAAGGTGAAGCTCGCAAGCAATCATTCTCGACTTGATTCCCTAGCGCGACGAGTTTCAACAGAGATCTTATATCCAATGTAAGAGCTCGTGAGGGAGGAGGGAGGACAGGGACGACTGAGGGTTCTCCTCGAGACGGTCGAGCTCTTCGGCGAGGGATTCTTCGAGACGAATGTGAGAGGCGTCTCTGCCTGATGGAGACTCTAATCAGAAGACAGAATCGGGGGGCCCAGGCTCTCATGTGTCCAAATATATTCTGAGACAGTCGGTGGCGGATCCTGTCGCGGGGGGCGATGCTTCCTTACTCCCCGAGTGAAAATCCTGGGTCTGCCTCTGCATACAGGCCGTGCGCCATCCTTCCAGCCACAATGGACGCCTGGAAAAGTCTGATTTCCTGCCAGAGTTCCCGACACGTTCGAGGAATGATTCTCGCTGTGGACGACGAAACACAGACCAGATCTCCATGAGCAATCGGACATCCTGCTAGAGGACAGAACATGCGATCGATTCGCATGGGGAAGGACTGTGCAAGGTATCAGTATCATTGACGATGAAAAATCACGACGGTCTGGTTGGTGTGATCTACGAAGACTAGGCGAACCTTCCTTTATGGAGGAAGTTCTCCCGAGTCCGCTGATTGAGGGAACGGAAACGATCTTTCGGCGAGAACTCGACCGCTAGCACCACCGTCCAAAGGAACGGTGGATCCACGTGAACGAGCAGAGCTCGGTAGCGTAAAGAGCGGCTCCCTCCCAGATTCCAGCTGGCTAGCCGTTTGCTACGGCAAACTGCTCCGAAATTGATTCGGCGCAAAACCTCAGTGCAGAAGCCCTATGCATTATTGCTGATCGATGCATGGCGTCATGTAGAGCTTAACATTCAGTGCGGTTTGTCGGGGATCCACGATGGCCGCCAATGCATAGTAGGCAGAATTTCTTTGTTCCAAGGGCCGCGGCAAAGAAACAAACTATTCAATCGCTTTCGACTCTACCACAAACAAAGTTTATGCGACGAGTTGAAGCAGCGAGATTTGGACGTAACTGGGCCAAGGGAGTCAGTATAAAAACGGATGCAGCACTTCCATCCTCAACTTCTCCCTGCGACCGACAGCAGCAATGAACACTGCGTGCAAGCTCCTTCTCCTATCGACGCTGAGTCTCGTCGGGGATCATAGCGACGCCTTCCTACTCCCAAAAAAATTCTATTCGAAAATGCCATCGTTGACTTCACAAGATTCGAATTGCACTGCAAACGAGACACTGGTGCTCTACCAGGAGCCCGTGATCCGAATGGGTCGAGTTTTCCCGTCGATCGCGGGTCGTTGTTGCCCAGGCCTCCCGCAAATCGAAGCACACAAAATGTAAGTGAATGTTCCAGATTCGCTATCTTCCTTGCCACTATCGGAGCTGCGTTCTTGAATCACAGATGTTGAGATCCTTACAGCGTGGGCGAAGTCTGTCCCTTGGAATTCCGGAATGAAAGCTATTCGTTGCCGGAAGGTTTTGACTGGGCACCCTCCAACCACACGAACTGTCCTCAGGATCCTTCAAGACCTGCGTGCTGCTCCGATCCCACGACCGGCTTCTGCAACTTCTATCACGATCGAACACCGGACGGTGAGATTTTCAGAGCAAGCATCGCTTGCCGCGGACGTTCGTCGGGCCGATGAAATCCGAACTCATCTTTTGATGATATCAGAGCTACCATGAGCGACCATGAGATCACTGTTTACTTGAATCGCGTTCACAGGCTTGATCTGCCCCATCGGAAAACCCTTGTGCTGCAATGGTCCTCCGGCGCCGCTCCTGGGGAAGGTCGGAGTTCCCAGCTACGGGTGCGACGTGGGAGCCTCCATGCCAAGTACGAACAGCGGGCTGCGTACAGGATGATTGTTCCGAGTTCTCTGGAAATCGTCCACTCCACGGCTTCGTAATTCATTCAAGATCTATCTTCCAGGGATGAAAAAGACTCAGAAGATGTTCAAGAAGTGGATGACGAAGGACTGGAATGAGAAACCAAAGCTTTTCAAGCTCAAATATCCTCAGCTGAAGCAAGCCCTGAGGAGCACGGTTGCTGAGTGGAGTCTATAGTTTATGCGAAGTCATCATCGGACGTCTCATTGACCCTATCTAACGCCTAAGCGACACCATATATATCAATATTTCATTGCAATCTCATCAATAAAGGTCTCAGCTCTCGTATTCCGGACACTCATTGCTGGTCCCGATCAGGCGGATCATTCGTCGCTCGCTCGGCGAAATGGGAGCTGAGGAATGACACTTCAGCCGGAGGCGGTGATCTCGAAGAACGAGAGCTTCCATTGATGAATGTTCCCATGCACAAAGACTTTTTCAAGACTCTCATTTGAGATGGGATATTCCCTTCGGTTCTGAAAATTTCTGAACCGTCGAATCCGAAGACCACTAACACCCTTGTCTGAAATGATGTCGAGCCCTTCCAACACGACGTCGTGTCGAATCAAAAGAGGGAATAAGAATGCGATCTTTCGAAAAAGTCATTGAGGGCGGTTAAATATTCAATCGATATCCGATAATCTGTACAGTCTCATTCCGCCGGAGTCCATCCGCGTTTTTCGAAAGCCGTGATGTAACATTTCTTCGAGGACTCCCGTCTGAACTTGGAGGGTAGAAGCAGGAGATTGCTCGGTCCAGATGGTATCAACCAAATAACATTTCTAGGAGGATCGTCATCAAATTCAGAAATATTAGCGGAACCTTCATCACTGTTTTGACAGAATGAATCAAATTGATGATCTGTGTTTTTGCGCCCGGTTGTTGATAGCCCTGCATCGCTGAAAGGTAAAGATTGTTAGACGAGGGCTCACACTGAATACCTCCTCGCAGAAGTCAGGAATTCGGCCGCCTCTCTTACCCATGTTCCTTCCGAGTCCGTATTTATTCAGGAATCTCTCCTCGTGAAGAATTGTCACTGCGTTGAGCACCAGTAGACCGGCTTCCAGCAGCGAGTAAATACCGAAACCCATTTATGATTCGATTCGATTTTCAATTCCTCTCCGAGCTCTTCCTTCGGCTACTCCGATGCGAAGCAGTGTCGACAATTCATAAGAGGGGGCAGCGATGAATGAGAGAGGAAGAGGACTCCAAGAATCCCGATTCTCACAGCTTTGCGAAGTTTGGTACACGTGATTCCGATTCCTGTGGGGAGTCATTTTGAAACGTTATGCTTCATATAGTAGAACTCATTCTGAATCAGAGGGGCATTGTGCCCCCGATTCTTTGTGAGCACACACTCCAGAACTGAAGACCAGCTCCTCGGAATTCTCGAATTCTCTTTTCTTTTTCACACTTCATAAGTTTCGCGCAGGAGATATGCTGACTCGGAATGGAGTCGGCCGAGACTGTCGGAATAAATTCCTCGGTCCCGATTCCCAATCATTCATGTCCGGACTTATGAGTCCTCAATCGAAAAGCACCTACTTCTCCGAGACTCGATCCAACCCATAGCATGAAGGATCACCGGGAATCATAAAGTGAGCCGGATGAATCTTCGCGATTCTACTCAAGTCTTCCCCTTCGAATCCCCCTGCCTTCTCCCCCTATTCGATACGGCTACCCGGAATGAATCCGTGTCCTTGCTGCCACCGGAATCCCTGTGTTCGAAAGATTTCACATCCTACCTCCAGCTCCGTTCGAAGCTCCGACCCCATCTTGAGCTAGCTCCGGGCAAGGGCACAATGTTACATTCACACATTGTTACATCTGCCATTCGGCAATGGCAGAGACCCTCATCAGAATCGAATTTTTCGGAAAAACCCCGGGAGCAATCGAAGTAGCTCGAAAGGGTACAGCTGGGTAAGGGGGCGTTTTCGGCCACGACTCCGATTTTCGAAATGGATTGCGTGGCGTAATGTCCCACTCTTTAGGAGCATATTGACGCACTCAGATCATCTCAATCGCTTTTCAAGTCCGAATGGTATGCGAAAGAAAAATTAAAGTGTGTTCGGACCGCTGAAAACACCTGAAATCTTTGAACGGTCATTGCGCGAGAACGGGATAAGCTAGAGACTCGCGCTTGGTGGCGTTCGAAAGCTGGGAACAAGAGCTACAAAACCATGCCCCAATCACCGTCCTGAGATATTTTCTCCATGAGATACAGATCGATTTTCGTCTGGAAAAATCACTTTTTCATGATTTTCCCGGAAAAAAATGTGATTACCAAGCTGGAATCGCTTGGGACAAGTTTTTTTAAGACCCTTCGCGTTCCTGCGAATGCGATTGCACCGGTTT